GTAATTTAAATTAAAAATAAATTAAAAATAAAAGCAAAAAACCTACGACGTTTTGATCGCAACACACGCGGTCTTCTCTCCACCTGATGAAGACCGCTTGTGTTGTGATGAAAAATTCGTGTTTTTTGCTTTATTTTTTCATTTATTTTTTCTTTATTTTATTTTCTATCTACGTGACATTGCCGAAAGAACCAAGAATATGAATTCCTGCAGTCACGAAAGTTTTAAATAAAAAAAATATGTAAAGGTGCAGTCCTGTAATTTCTTGCTCACTCCACTGTTGGCAGAAAGGCCTCCACTCGATGGAGCCCTAGAGAGGTCCTCTGTTGAGGGTTTTTCGCCATTCTTCCAGGTTGGCCAAATGTCTTGAAAGAGGGGGGAGCGGGAACATTTACCCCACCAGGCACGGCCTGCCAATTGACCAGCTGTCTTTTTTACCACTTGGTGGACATAGCCTGGGGGCAGCGAGGTGGTTTTTTTTTTTTACCAGGTAAGCCCCACTGAGCTATGTATCTCTTTTTCAGATTGCAACCTGACCACAAATGATAGCTCAACGAAGTGGCTTATCACGTGTAAATGTATAGCAGTCCAATACTCTAAACGCACGTTCTTAAACTTGGAGGGAAAAACCGGTGGACCCGGAATAAAATCCACGTGACCATTGGGACAGAGAACATGCAGGATCAGGATCGAACCTACAAACCTCTTGCATACCCGGCGAGGTAGTTAACCACTGTTTCAACTGCCGTGCCGAGAGGTTGAATCGAACCGGCGACCTCTGGCTCGCAAGTCGTCTGCTTTGCACCCATCACACCATGGCAGCGTCCCTGTATTGTGGTGGCAAATAAAATAAAATAAAAAAAAAACTCATCAAGCACTTGCGGGAGAGTTATTATTATGTATTCATTGTTCTTCATTTATAATCAAATTGCCCAAATATGAGATGATGTCATTGTTGGCATTTATCTTTCTATGTTCTCTACTCATACGATAAGTGAGTGCTAACATTCTTAATCATAAATGTGTGTGTGTGGTGTGTACGTGTGATTCAAAGAACTTCACCGCGTAGGTAATATATATTATTTTTTGTTTCTTGTCACGAATGGAATGTTTAGTTCCGCTGGTGCGCATACTTTATAAGATGAAATAAAATAAATTTTGTTTCGGCTTGTCGTTTGAACGCAGTGCTAGAAGGGATTTTGGGTAGCATTTCCTCGGTAAAGGTCACGTTCTAACGCACGTTGTCGTAACAACGTTGGCTAAAGTGCCTTGTGGCATTTTGCGGAATAACTTTTTGAAGACTAGGTGAATATACCAAATATTAACATAAATGAAAGCAATTATACTAACGTTAGCGTTTGTGCAATAAATTATGAATATTCATTAAATATCATCCAACACTATTTTAAAAAAATGCTTCTATATACATAGGTCAGGTAGCATCTGAAAGCATTTCTTCGAAAGTATTAATTTTCTATGTAAGTGTGAGTGCCCACGTCAGTCCTATCAAGTATCCTCTGCGTGTATTTCCCATGGTAACGACTGAGAAGAGTCCACCAAAGGGGACAGGTCTCCCGTGGACTTGGCTGGAATGTGCCAGTGTAAAGTGGCAGTGGTTACCCAGAAGTCTCATTCACCTCTCCGCACCAGCCGTGCAGCAGCAGAAGAGCGCTGAATCCCTTAGTTTAGTGAGTTTTTCTAGTTATTTTTGGGCACTGGAAGTTGTCACGTGCATTGCTAATTACTCACTGCGATTAACGACCAGCAACGGACATTGAAACTTCAGTAACGGAAGAACACGATGCCTTGTGTAAATGACGTGTAGCTCAAGCAATAGTTCTACACTGGTGCATTTTTAGAATAAAGTAGCACTAAATATATATTTACTTGTGAAATAGTGATACATTATGGAGTTTTTTGGTTTCCACGTGAATATAAGTTATATCTTTTTTTAATGCACAGTTGACCGTCCCTTGTGTCTTTCGAGAAGTGTTCCTTAAAATAAATAAGGACTTGATTTGTTAAAGGCCATTACAGGCTATATTTGCAATACCCTGTTAGGAAGTATAGCTGAAGGTTGCTAAATACTCTAGGGTTTGAGCAATAATGCACGTTTTTACGACTTCCTCTTTAGTCCACAGTTTACGATATCGTCAATGTGATTTTCAAGTGATGTTCAAACACTTGCTTTCACAAGTCTAAAACTGAAAGCAAAAATAATGAAATACAGTTTTAAATGGGCAGAATAACCGATGAACATCAGCTAAAGTGCATTTTAGATTATTGTTTTTTTTATTAATGAACACGTTTACTGCCTTTTTGTTGCATAGTTTTGTACATAGTTTATAAATTAGCTTCAAAACTGCAAAAGCATGCCAAGTGAATTAAATTGTTTATAAGTACTGCGAAACCAAGGAGGGCTGGTGGATCAGGGATCAAAGCACGAAGCTGGCAATGTTGAAATTCAGAATTCAGGGCTCAGCCACCGATGATTAAACCAACTTCTCAATATTAGTGAGTTGATGGAAAAAAACGAAAGTATAACATTTAATTTGTCCCTTACTTTGGCAAAAAGTACACTAACCTATTGTTCATTGACCTAACAGTTTATGAGTGGACTCGTGGGTGTTAGCAGCAATGTCCTCAATAAGAAGATCGCCACGAGTATGCTGCAATTTTTAGTGACCCTCAGGGAATCTGATGGGGGGGGGGGTTCCTTTTACATCATCCAGCAGTCCCATGCACTGCTAGATGTAAGTGGCAGCAGTGTTCTGTAGTATGTTAACGGCGCTGTCAGAGCACACAGCACTGCAGTGTTCTTTAATTAATCGGGGCCGATCCCTGGCTCTCAAACATTTCGCTCAAGATTTTCCGTAACAGCTGCACAGGCCTCTTCAAGGCTGCTTGCCTCTGCGCTCTGCATCTCCCATCCATCCTGTCTCCACCCTGTTATCTCCTGCCAGTGGCTCCAGCTAATTCCTCCTCTCGCAGGGATTCCTTGCTCACGTCTCCCGGTGTCATGCGCAACGGGTGTGAGTTTAACGGACACTGGTTAGACTTGCTTGCCAAGCTCGGGACTGTGCCCGCGTTTTGTGCCTGCCCCCATCAGCCTTCTCGAAAATCTACTCGCTCTTGGGCAGTTCCACAAACTAGGCAATTTCACGGCGAAAATGTCGAAAAATGTTCTAATGGCACACATTTAAGGTGATTATAGTTTCAGAATAGATAGCTTATTTATGGAATCTGCGTACGGCATGTTAATGTGATGTGCAGGTTTGAAATTAATGGTTTGATACACACACACGAAATGGAATGCGCCATCACCATCTCAGTTTGGATTTTTTTTTTAAGTCAGTTCGTCTGAGTATGTCCGACACCACGGTATTTCTCCCTCATGAAAAAAAAAGTGGCCAACCATTTTTTTGTTCATCCCAATTACAGTCCTAATTGGTTGAAATATTATGCCCAAGTAACAGACAGAAAACCTTCATGATCATACGAACGATTACCCACGCATTTAAGGTGTAGGATAAATGTACGTCCAAAATCGTGCAGCTGTCCTGTCGCCAGCAGTTTGAAACCGGTTTATGTGTGGAGGTGCCTCTTGCTTGCGCATGTTACAGACGCTGGAATGCACTTTGTTGGGAGTGCAATTGTGGGTCTGTTAATGAGAAAATGGAACGGGTCCTTTTTGCGACAGTGCAGGTAATTTACTACTACCCTGGAAGTCATGTGATGGGCAGACTTCACGCCTCTCGAGTCACTGATTTACACCCTGTAAAACATTTCGTTTATGTGCTTTTGGCAAGCGCACATTTTTTTCTTGAAGCAGGTGCGGGTAGGCAAATACCTTATTATTTTACTTTGTTCCAAAATTCCACTGCACAAATTATTGTGCGCACTAGAACAATAAAGTCAGGTTGTTTTCTGAAAAAAAACTGTATACGCATGAAAATACAAATAAAACTTTATCAGGTATGTTGTTTTAATGTTTCTCATATCACGCATTATTGAATTTGGTGTCAATATTTTATTGACTAGCACTTGAAACGTGGCATATTTTTGGTGTTTGTGGACTTTAGTGCAGGTTTTATTCACATATTAATCGATTGGAGTAATTTAATAATTATCCAGGCAGCTACCTTTGAAACATCCATATCTATCAAGGGTTTTGTAGATGTATCAAGACTCATGGGCCCACATGATCTAAATATGAATTTGAGTGGGTTTCAGGTCCCCTTGGTCATCACCTAAAGTCTGTTTTATAGGTGGAGCAGTGCAGCGCCAGGCACATGCATGGTGTGGGTTTTTGTCATCTCTCAGCAGAATATTTCATGAGAAAAAAGTCACTCCGTAATGAAATAAGTGATCTGAGGCCACATTATCAGAACTCATGTGCAAATCCGACCACAGAATTAAATTGCATGCGTGGGTACACATAGCCATTTAACTCACACGCTCTTTTGAGCCCTGAGACTCTTCTAGCCAGGTAGGTAATCTTTATTTATAACCAGGTGAGAACCAGGTTAGCTTGGGCAAAAGCCATTGCTTGAAGGGGTTGATCGCCGATGGTATAGAATAATGACGGAGTGGCCCTTAAGCGATGGAACCCATCCAAAAGGACATCGACTGTACAGACGGACTGATGAAATCAGCTCTTGTGCAGGTGTTAAGCGGATTATTTACATCACAGGTTCATGAAAAGTGGCAGCAATTTTGGGAGGCTATGATGCAGCAGTGGATTGACTATGGCTGTTGATGATAAAAGGCCATTGAGACTTTTTGTGACCCAGGACTCGGTGATCATAATTTTCCAGCCCGTTCATAATCCACTGCTCGCTTAGGGCCTCCCCACATGCCATTTCGCATCATGGGGCCTTATTGACCGTACTTGACCAAGCCACTTCAGTTCGGTGTGGCCCAGCGCACCGCTCGCCTTCCCCGACCGCCGAATTAAACCCGTTGTCGTCGTCGCTGTTCTGTCCGTTTTCCTCCGGAAGCTGGTGGCGCCAGCGGCAGCAGCGGCGGCAACACGGGGTCCGGCACGCAGCTGATCACGCGGGTCACCTACTCGGGCATGATCAACCCAGGCGACCAGTGGCACAACCACTCAGCGGTGGGCGCGCGCGCCGTCACAGTGGACTACCGTCTGCGGGTGATGTGCGACGAGCACTACTTCAGCACCAACTGCACCAAGCTGTGCAAGCCGCGCGACGACTACTTCGGCCACTACGCGTGTGACTCCAACGGCAACAAGGTCTGCCTCGACGGCTGGACCGGCGGCGACTGCAAGAAAGGTTGGTCCTGTTCGTCGTTGCCGTGCTATTATCGTCGTCGGTTATCGTCTCTCCTCCTTTGTTAAAGAACAGAAGCCCGATTATTGCATGCGGTCGGTCGGCTACTCAATGTTGTTTCTACTATGTATGTGTGCTTCTATTCCGTGCCTCTTCTGTAGTCACGCCCGCTGTCCTTGCATAGGGACCCACAGACTTATGTAGAGACCTACAGACTTACAGAGAGACCCATAGACTTGCATGGAGTTGGTTGCTCACATTTTATTTCTCCACATGCTTCTATTCCGCGCATCTTCTCCAGTTACACCCACTATCCTTGAATCTGGTTCCACCACACCCCTCCCATCTCACCCTCGTTATTCCGTCTACCCCTAATCCCTGCTCCAGTGGCATCTCCGTCGCCCTTCTTGTTGCCTCTTCAGCGGCGTTCTTGGTTTTAGAGTAACGCATCAAGTGAGCAGTGTCCTGGAAGAGACCCGAGCCTCCTCCCAATGTGAGACAAACCTCCTTCACGGTCTCCAATGAGGGTGTGCCCGCGTGTCACTCATTCGGCATATTTATAGACGTTTATCATGCGAGTCGGGCTAGGCCAGGTTTATTGAAATATTTATTTACGTGATGGGTTTCGATTTTTCTTGTTGTCTGTCATTGGTGACTAAGTGCCGAGGCATGACAAATACACGTCCGCTTAATCACACACAGGTGTATCTGCCTATAGTAGCTAATGCCAATATTGACCAACTAGCCCTTTGCCCGTCTTTGGACGGGCAACCTGAAACTTGCAAGTGAAAAGCACATCGCGACGTGATATTCATTGCATTAATGCGTGTGCAATTTGTAAGGGCGCGGTGACACAGACCTATTTCATTTTAAGATTTTAATCCCTTGTTCATCATGATGTCCTTTTTACTTTGATGTCTCAACAGCATCACGGAGATGGCATGATGTGAGGGTTCTACCTTTGTAGTGAGGGTTGTAAGTTGACGCCGAGGAGGGGGAAGGAGGCGCCTCGCCCCCCATGTGGAGTGACGTCAGCCGCTAATTATTATGAATGGGGGGGTGTCCATTTGGAGGACGTCACCTTATGATTATTAATGAGGGGGGCTGGTTAACGTGGGGTGACGTCACGAGCGTTGCACACAGACATTCTTGGCTCATTATAGTAGGTAATAATGGGGGGGGGGTCCATTTGGAGGATGGCACCTGCTCATGAATATATATGAGGGGGGCTAGTCGATGTGGAGTGACGTCACAAGCGTTAAGGACAGACATTCCTGGGTGATTATAGTCAGTATGAGGTATTCGCCTATCATGCCCACAGTCTATTGTGGAAGGTTAATTTGAGGGCATGCAGTTTGAATGCCACACTGGGATTTTTTTTTACATCTGCAAGGGAGCGTTCACAAGGCACGTCTGCTTATAATGTGCTTGGAAACACCTGGATTCGCTCTGACTTGTACAGCCTCTGGTGGGGCTCTTGATAATGAAAGCCGATGGTATTGTGAAGACATCTTAGTGCTTCACTCGATATAGTTTCACATTTACTGTATACGAATAATGAACGAAAGGGTTAGATGTGCCTGCTGTTGCATTAGCGTTTTAATAGATAAAAAATAAATCGGCCCATAATTAAACTCAAGTTTGCTGGGATCATAGTGGCAATGCGCTCATCCCTGCTGCAACTGATCTCCAACAGTAGACTGTTCTCTACCCAATTAAAACGCCCACAATATGTGTTGTTCACAATAGCCATGCTTATGAACGTGTAAATTAAGAAATGAGCCTGCCATTGATACAAAGAAACCCATAAAAAAAACTTTGTATCAAAACAATCTACACACGTTCGCGCATGTGCACACACGCACGTGCGCACGGTGTTTAGTTTACACATTCATCTCCCGCTCTGACTAGCATATGAGAGTAAAAGCCTCCCAACTCAGTGCACTGTTTGCCCTGTCCAGTGACATTGTTAATGTCTGCTTAGTTTAGTCTTGTGTGTGTGAACACAGTCGAACCTCTGCCTTTGTGTCCGTTTTCTTTTTTCAGCCATTTGCAGACAAGGATGCAGCACCGAGCACGGGCAGTGTGACAATCCAGGGGAATGCAAGTGAGTCGAGCGTCTTGTAACTTTTCCGAGATGGATAAATAAATTAAATTATTAAATTATGAAGTACGTTCTCGAGTAAATGCCATTGCTTTAGACAAAAGTGAGCGACTTCCTGCACCTTTTTTCGCGGTTGAGCCACCGTGGCGCCCTCCGATGCATTTCCGGGTTGTCCCGCATGTTGTTCATATGTACGTACGTATGTATGTTGAATTTCTTTCGCCCCGTACATAGCCAACCATACGAAGCCAACTGTACGTAGCTAACTGTGCTAATTAGAGGTGCTGCGTTCGGCACGGCGTCTAACGTTTCGCGCCACGTTGCTTGCCCAGAAAAAAACTCCGTCATGTGTGGATGCGACACGCTGGGCGTCATGCAGAACAGCGCGCGGCGCCACTCGGAAACGCGTCAGAGGGCGTCCTGCGCTTACCAACAGAAAACCCTGATGCCAGTTTCAAAGCAGATACTGGAATATTATTTGCAAGTGAGATGCAAAGATCACCGTGTATACTGAGAATCCATGCCATTACCCTTATGCCCAAGTGGGAAGAGTATTAGCGACTTGGCTTCCCACTCCAAGGGCTATCAAGCTTGGTGTGTTCTTTCCATCAAACTTGATTTGAAGCTTTCATGATTGCAGGGATTACTCTTTGGTTCTTTCGGTAAAGTCACATAGAAATAAAATAAATTAAATAATAGAATTCGCCGTTTCGATTGCAACACAAGCAGTCGTCATCAGGTGGAACTAAATTTGAGAGAGAGACAAAACACAGACACAGAGACACACAAACAGACACACAAGCAGAGAGAGACAACACAGAGACACAGAGAGACACAACAGACACACAGAGACCCAATGCCTCTGTGTCGAGGCCTTAAATAGAGAGGTCCATTCGCTCTTTCTCTCCCCCGACCGCTTCGGGGTGGATTTCCACACATCTCTCCGTCTCTGTCAAATTTCACACTTAACTTCTAATTTTAGCAATTTTTGGAGATCGTAATCAACCAGGCTATGCATTAACTGTGTGTTAGCACACTCTCTGTGTTGCATTGCATTACATTTCCAAAAAAAATGCTGAATTTTGTTTTCTCAAACTGCCGATTTCTCTCTCTAAAATTTACCAGGCTCTCATAGGTCCATTCGCTCTTTCTCTCCCTTGGTCGCCTCGGGTTGGATTTCCACACAACTCTCTCTAAAATGTACCACTCTTGTTGGGTCTTTCAGTGACATGCTAATTTCTCTGCTGCAGCAGACCCACCTCTCTCTCTGTCCCCCTCCCTCTCTCTCTATTTAAGGCCTCGACACAGAGGCATGGGGTCTCTGTGTGTCTATGTGGTGTGTCTCTCTCTGTGTCTCTGTGTTGTCTCTCTCTGCTTGTGTGTCTGTTTGTGTGTCTCCGTGTCTCTGTGTTTTGTCTCTCAAATTTAGCTCTACCTGATGGCGACTGCTTGTGTTGAAATCGAAACGTCAAATTCTATTATTTAATTTATTTTCTTTTTATGTGACTTTACCGAAAGAACCAAAGAGTCATTCTTTCCATCAGTTTCACTGCGATCATAATAACCAATATAATGAATTAATACGATGACCATCGCCGTAATTTATTGTAAGTGAGCACAGCTATTGGAGCATGCAAAACAATAATAATTTACAGCTCTTTTGCCATGGGGATTGTTTGACCATGCTTCACCACTTTGGTCAGTGTGGGTTCAGATATCACTTGCCACTGATGTCAGCTGTCTGGGAATTGAACTCAGGTCGCCTGGATCATAGCGCACTGCGCTCAGCACTGTGTCATCACACAGCCCATCGGAATATGCACAAAGTGCAAAAAGTCAGCCAAAGCTTCAAGATGAGAAGCAATATTTTACCTTCATGAGGGCTCCACGGCATTCACCAGCATACTATGTCTTTAGTTTAAAATGGTGTCAACATAACAATTTAAGAGAGCTAAATCAACATAAAAAAATTATAGAATGAATATGTACAAATGCAACATTTATTTCACAACTCTGTGTCTGTTTTGCACAAATAATGACAATATTGTAACGCACGCACGGACAGAACAAATATCGTAAACTATTACACCCGTGCTGCCTTGAAATAATTATACACGCCCCGTGTAAAAGTATGAAAATTAATGCACCGTAATGTATGCTTCGCTCGGTGCAGTAACAGGCATAAATATTTAAGAGCCAATGAAGCTAAGTGAAACCGACTTGCGAGTAGGTAGGTACAGAACCCCAGTAATCCGATCGACTGTGGCCAAGACGCTAATGGCCTTGTGAGAGGAGGGTTCGGTCAAATGAGATGGTATTGTTTCTTAGCCCGACTCGCTTCTTTCACTTTGCCGACTCTCCCCCCACCGGCTCCCCGCCCCGCTCCCTCCCCCGCCGCCCCCCCCACTCCCCCCCGCCCCCCCCGCCCCCCCCCGCCTTCCCCCCCGCCTTCCCCCCCCGCCCCCCCCCGCCCCCCCCCGCCCCCCCCCGCCCCCCCCCCCCGCCCCCCCCCCGCCCCCCCCCCGCCGCCCCCCCGCCCCCCCCCGCCTTCTCCCCCCCACCTTCCCCCCCCCGCTCCCCCCCGCCTTCCCCCCGCCCCCCCCGCCTTCCCCCCGCCCCCCCCCGCCTTCCCCCCGCCCCCCCCGCCTTCCCCCCCGCTTCGTGTGCTCTGTTGCGTGCTACTCGCACAGCGTGTTTGTAACCGGGCACCCGTTGACAACATACGGTTGGTGGGGGGAGGGTTTTCAACGAGACTCAGATTTTGCTACTGTGGATTATTGGTGAGGAGGTACATTTAATGGTAATACAAATGCATCCAACACCTTGTGTTCGGACATAATTATCCAATGAGTTTCAACATTTAGGGGGGGTTTTAAATTCGGCAACAAAAAAATGTCGGCGTAAATATCGCGTGCTTTCATCAGCATCATCATTATCAACCATTGTCAATTCACTGCTGGATGAGGGCCTTCAAAGTCCGCCGCCGCCATCTCTCGTGATCCTGCGATATAATAGTTCACTTCGCAGCTGTGCATTAACTAATTAAAAAACATTTCACAAAAGGACACAGCCACACTGAAGACTAAATGAAGAAAAGACTGAACCAACATACATTGAAAAGCAAAGTCAGCCAAGGTGACATGCTTTCTCCAAAGTTATTCTTTGCGACTTGATTTGATATTTTCCACAAATTGGTTTGGAGAAGCATGGACAAACTTATATAATGGAGAAAGCATTATCTGTTTCGTCAAATAATATATATATACACACACACGCACATATGAACCTTATGGCGGCACCCCGGGGTTCCGAATAAACGGAAGTCAAAATCGTAATTAATTAATGTATTTTTGGCGACTCCGTCCCACAGTGCACACAAACGCCACGACCCACCTGGCGCGGATCATTCTGTTGTCGTGTCGTCCAAGCGCAGCGAGGACGAATGCGCAGAAGAAACAAAACTTTGAAACTTTGATTAGCGCATCGTGTAAAGCTCGTCGAGAGGAATAGATCGCCTTGTCGTTCACCTTTAACAGGCAAAAAATGACGTCGCAACGCAGTTTATGCGAGAGCCGGGGGCTTATGGGACCCCGGGGTCCCGCCATAAGGTTCATATATCGCCTGATTAAATATCACCAGTCTGTTAAACGTTCAGTGACCTCAGGCTACCTTCAACTGATTCGACCAATCTCATGGGAAATCCCGTGTTGAATAGATAGTATCAGCACAAATATTCTCATTTCTCTGTGACTGCAAACAGGCGACTGTTTATAGTTCACACAAATTTGGACACTCCAGCGATTTCGCACGTGCGATTGTTCGGCCTGTCAATTTGGCAACCTGGCCAATCCTAAACGTGACGTTGCGTTTGAACTTTTATTGAGCACGCCCTTTGACATTGGTATTTTTATAACAATGCCAAGTGTGAGCGTTTAGGAGGCCTGGGGTTTAATGGATTACACGGAGATCATATGCACAGGAAGGATCACCTGTGGTGAGGGTGGAGACGAGGGGAGCAGTTCAGAAAATAGGTTTCCGGCCCACCTGTGTAGCAGTTTCAGTGTTATTCTCTCCTGTGTGTGGGGGTCGGGGGGGTCACTGTACAATTCTATAACCTCCTACATGTAAAATTATCTTGGGGAAAATTGGCCCAAACATCCTTTGGCAGGACCCAACTGAAAGGAGTCGTGAGACTTCTTCTTTGGTTCTTTCGGTAAAGTTACGTGACTTTACCGAAAGGACCAAAGAAGATGAATCCTTGCAGTCACGAAAGCTTTAAATCGAGAGTCGTGAGACTCAGTAGAACATTTTAAATTATATGAGTGCATTGCATTTTTACGTAATATCGTGAAAATATGTACGGGTCATGCTTGCAAGGTGGTTGCTAGCATACACAACAATAGTTGTCTAGTGAATAATTCCCCAGAAATTTAATGAATTGTCACAATTTGGGGTCATGATTTTAACTTCGAAAATGAATAATTCTTTGTCCAGTTTGACCTTTGTATAGTTCCTCTTTTGTTCTTGTTTTCACATTTTTGGTACTTCCATTAACTTAAATGTAACTTGAATACACAACTTGTATGTGCTGTATGACAAGTTACCAGTTCTTTAACGCACAATTCGATGCACGCATTGCGATTGTAAGAATCAATTTAAATTGATAACTTATCGCATCGTTTAGAACCCTAGATGAACGAGCTCAGCATAAAAAATATATACGTTCACTTTGAGCTATGACTTATCCGCTGCTGGATAAAGGCCTTCCACAAATCAGTCATCGCCATCTCTCACAGGCGTCACGACACAGTGGCGAGATGTTAACTACCTCGCCTGGAATAGAGTAGATTGTGGGCTCATTCCCGACCCTGATGCCTGTTGTATATTTGGAGTTTGCGTGTTCTCCCCGTGGCCGCGTGGATTTTTCTGCAAGTCCTCCGGTTTTTCCCTCCACATTTAAAATCAACATGCATTGAAAGTAATTGGCTGCGATAAATTTCTAC